TTTTAAATACTGGGTTACATTTCTAATCTTTCTAGAAGTGCCTCTGTCTTCCCTTTACCTAGGAGTCTGGAGTACACTGGAAGCAACTAATTTACCATGAAATAAGATAGGTTCCTGTTGACACAAGTCAAGGGCAAAACTATTAAGTCATTAGGGCTAATGTTGTAACATTCTGATACAAAGGCATGGCCTGGGCCTTTCAGATGTACATCTGACCTTTGAGGATTAAGTTTCTTCGCAGCTTATTTTTGGAACTCAAAATATGTCTTTTTTTCCTTTCTGCTTCACATACATTGATCTTTGGCCTTGTGCAACTTGTATAACAGCTTCTGCAGTCCTTATTTGTCCCAGTTTGATCAGATGAAGTAAGGATAGAAAAGACATCACATTCTTAATCCTGCAGTGCTTAGAGTACATCATGTATTTCTCTGTTTAGCACTGCCCATGTCACAGCTTGGCCCAAGGGTTCGCCAGTAGAAGGGAGTTGGGGAAATTGAAGTGGCTTTCAAGATTCTTCCACATAGAAGAAAAAGTGAGGTTTGCTTACACCAATCTGTCTAGATATCATTTAAAGATATATAAATGTGCCTTGTGATGGCTGTGTGATAGTAAAGTAACTTCTCTTAAATCTAATGTTTTTTCCAACAACTAGATTGTATTTTCAATCATTATATCCTCCAGCATAGCAGCAGGTCTGTGCTTGCTTCACTGGCAAGGGAACTGCAGTGGGACTCCAAAACTTGTCTTGATGTCATACTTACTATCTCTCACAATTCGTTCACTTAGTGTCAACTTTGTAAACTTGTTTAGCTCTTTTCTTTTTATGAGTCACTCTCTGAAATAAGGAGCCAAGGAATGTTGTCACTTGGACCTGTGCTGGGTTGCATTTCCATTTACCATCACTCTGAAGACTAGCTGTTCTCCAGGTAAATCAGCTTTACCCAGGTGTAAGCCTCATGGCTTTCATGTGTAACAAGCCAGTTTTCATTTTCAAGATACATTAAGAAACCAAATCAAAATACATCCTAAGCTGTTGTATAAGTACTGTGTCTAAAAGTTTTGCCCAGAATGTTTTGGAGCATATAGGCTGAGAACATACACCTGGGCCTGAATGACGTTGTCAAGGCTAGCTGCATTAATTATTTAATAAGGAAGGCTCATTTCATATGATGCTTTTGTTAGTTATATAGGAATGTATTCAATAATGTGGAACATTCACACAAGAAAAAGCTGAGAAAGTTTTAAATTTAATTTATAAATAGTTTTTTAAGTGTATCTTGTTCATGCATTTAGCTTATCCTTGAGGGCCCTCTCTCTTGAGGAAGAAATAGCAGACCATTCTTTAAAAAGGACATTTGGGAAGCAAGGCAGTAAGCTGTGGAATGCTAAATCTAATGAATTTCTGGTTTGTTTTCTTTTTGCATTCAGTGTTTTAAATATGATGGTGATGAGGAAATGCTCTATTTCATTAATTTCTGTTTTATTTTATTTTTACATTCAGCAACTTTAAATACAATGGTGATGGGGAAATATAAATTGCAGTAAAAAAGATTTTGCTCTTAAAACTGTACATGCCAAGGTAGGTCTGGAACAGATGCTTATGGCTGAATTAATAATCTCTGACAGTAGAGGTTTTGAACATGAATTTTGACAGACCCTTCACTATGACAATACTAGTGGGAGTCACAATAATATTATCTCCTGCTGAACATTGCTAGTATGTGAGCACTATTGTGCCAAAGGTTAATATGCCACTTTTATTTCCTTCTCTCTACAGCTATAATTTAAACGAGTTGCACACATAAGCGATGTTATATGCATAGGGTTTTGCATTAAGTTTGCTATGTCAGATTTGTTTATAAAAATCATATTTTGAACCACTTGCCCAGGGGCTCTGTTCTGGGGAGCTGCAAGCTGATTTCTTTTAAAGAAGCAGCTTTCATATTCCATGATCTTTCAGTAGAGATTTTGGAGCTCTGAACAGGGACCTTGGTTTTAAAATTAGCACTTGCCGCATTTACGCTTAGGTTTAATTACTTAGCAACAGAGAGTTTAATCCAGTTTTACATGTGTGCCACATGACCCCTTCCATACCTCACTGGAATTGGAAGGGCCCCCTGCCTCTCTTGGGAAAAATTGCTTCCCAGCATTTTGGAGACCTTTTACAATGTTTTTGTTCCTATGCTGCAATGTTAACATTGCCCATAAACCTAATAGTCACACAGTAGTTAATAAGGGGCAGAAAGTTTTACAGTCTTTTCCGCAGTTGTTAAAATCCTGCTACTGTAATTTAGTCCTACCCACACAAAACCTATCAGTTGTGAAAAACAAGATACGCTATATTGGTGTATTCTTGGTAGCCAATGGCAGAGAGGACCTCTCCTGAGCATCTAGCTGAACGTAATGAACTTGGGGATTATTTAAATTGCTTGGCTTGTAATATAAACACTCCAGGGCTTGCCAGCAGTGTACCTTCAGGATTTGTGGCTTTTCTAAAAAAATCATTTTGGTTTGGGGTTTTTTTTTTTGTTGGTTTTTTTTTTTTAGAATCCAATGCAATTAGTGGCATGATGGCAAAGGATGATTTATCAAATTGCCTTTCAGTTACAGGAAATAAAATCCATTAATGATGTTGCAAGCATATTTATTTAGGTTCAGCAGGAATCATTTTCTAGCTGTCTTTCTGTGTTATCTAAACCAAGAATATTCCCAGGATACCAGTTGAGTTGTCCTTTGTGCCTTTGTAGACCTTCAGGTAATTTTGACCTTTTCCTGCTAGGGGAGATGCTGGTATTCATGAATGCACCAGTGGAAATCATAGAATCATAATAAGGTACTCCTCAAAGTTAGTAAGCTTTCCTGAACCAAACCTGAAATGAAATGGGTCTGGATGTAATTAGGGGTTGACTACTGGTACCTGTTGGATACATGCAATGCCTTTACCACATCAACAGGGAGCAGGCAAGGCTGAAGTTGGGACAGAGTGGTCACTAGGAGTGGCAGACAAGAAGACCTCTGAAAAGGAAGAGTTCACAAACTTCTCTGAAAAGAATTTTCCATGAATCAGCCTCTGCTAATGGCTAAACAGATATATTTGAAAAATAAAATCAAATGGTAGGCATCTTTAATACATAATATTTTTCTCAGAAAGTCATAAGGTACCTATTCTAGTACACAAAACTAGTATAGAGATTATTACACAGTAGTGAAGAGTGATAGGGGAGAAGAATAAGCAAAAACTTATTTATTTCAAAATTGGAATACTGTGGAGACCATGAGCTCTTAAGTGCAATGATACTGTGTGCTGTGTGAAAGGGCAGAGTTCAGATTACTTGGCTGCCAGAACTGTACTTCAGTGCTTGAGATGTGATTTCCTTTAGATTTCATTTTCCACCTGTATTGCTGGGATTGCAATAGTATGTCCTGAGCTTTGTATGACTTGCCTAAAATGCATTTTTGCATAGATTAATGGTTTGCATGTTACTAGTTAGATTTTAATATTGTTATCCTCCCCATCCCTGAGAAGATGGTTATGAGCTATTTTGGATGAGCTTGGCACTACCAACATGTTGGGGTTTGCATCCTCTGAAAATTGGGTGTAGTCAATGGAATAGAGATCTGTGGGTTTGGTATTGGATTTCATGGAATCTTTGAATGCAGTTCAATAATGATGGAAGTGAAAGATGTGTTGTGTTTGTGGTGGGCAGAGGCTTCAACAATAAGTGTCTATGAACAGAGCTGGAGCTCTACATTTACACCTCTGTGCACTGTGCCGAAGCGTTACCCAAGTACAGCACAATTACACTGCCACTGTGCTATAATAGAAGTCTAAAAAGGAAATGGTACTATTCACTCAGTAATTTCTGACCTGTTGCATGATTACACTACTGGATTCATTTTGTAGCACATATATGGGAGTACCCTAGTAATTATCTATCTAAAAATACAGCACTGCCATTTCTGGGTTGGTTTTGAAGAGTGGTTGCATAAAATTTCATCAAGATGCTCAGTACAGTGTGCTGCACTCTTCTTGGCCTGAATTGTTACTGGGAAAATTAACCCAGCACTGCGATGGGTGCAACATCTTCCAGCTCTCAGTGCACTTGTATGTGATTCTGAAATTCCCTGAATTCTGAAATTCATTTGAAATTCCCATAACCAGTGGGCCTGATGCTGATGGAGTGGGAAGGGGTAGGAAGTAAAAGCAGGTCCCTGTGTCTGCTACTTTCCTCACAGCCTGGCTTCCTAGCTTCTCAGGGCTCTGCACACCTGGTCTGATGCCAAATATTTTCTGCTTAACCACAGGGGATTTCTTGAACAAGCTGTGGGGAGAGCAGAGTGGGAACTTCTTCTCTGAGGTGCCTCTGTACACTCTACTACTGTATACAACCCTTCAGTATAGGCTTGCCTCAAAGGTATAGTCTGCTGCTGTCTGACAGGCTGCTTGTATCAAGAAGTCAAGCATTGCGCTGGAAAACAGACTTGTCTTCGTGTGGTAAGTTTGTTCTCCTAAACCTTGATCCCCAAACCACTGAAATCAACAGTGTTTTGAAGTCAATTTCCAGTGATTTCCATGGTCTGGAGATCAGGTTTCACTGCTTTTGCAACCCTGGATCTCAACAATTCCTGACTGCCTCACTCTGGCTCTTTTTTTCTCTAGTGTGGGGAAAAAAAAAAGATGCTATTTAACATGATGAGATCTAAATAACTGGGCGCTGTGCATGGAAAGTACAGCTCTATTGTTAGCCCCGTTTCACAGACAAGGAAGCTGTATCTGAAATGATACATCCAAACTGCTGCAAAGCAGAGAATAGAATCCAAGTTTCATTCTGTAGATATCCTGGTACAACGAAATTTTTCAGCCTCATTGTCCTTTGCAAATATTTCCAAATATCTTGCCTTATCCTTAGTCTCTTACAAATACAACCCTGAACTGGAGATGCTTCATGTGCACTTTCATACTACATTACTTTCATTTTCTCTTCTTTATTAGTTGTAGTCATTAACACTTTGTGAATAAATCAATTATGGGTAAAGGTATACTAACAGGTAATGGAGCCTTTTTATTGTCGTGATGATTGAGGCAGAATACTACAGAGAAAATGCACTGGTATTTTCAAGCAGAAGTGGAGTATTTTTTTCCAAAACTGAACTCATAAGCCTCAACATTCATAACTTTGACTGAGAATTAGGCTCCTGAAAAAGAGTCTGAGACCCTTCTCAGATTTTCCATTACTAAGGAATCATCCTTACTTCAGCAGCCACTCAGGGAAAGCAGCTGGAGAGCTACATTGTATGTGACACTTTGGAAGTGTAGTTTTTCAGTGTTTATCAACCACTGTATTTTCAGCTTGAAGGTACCAATGTTTCTGTGTCACACAATAAATTACAGAATGTTTACACGCAATTAGGTATGTGCCTACGGAGGAGAAGACACTGGGAAACAGGATTTTCCAGAGGCAGTAGCTAGTTTAGAAGCCCAGAGCCACTGCAGCAGCTATTGTCAGGGAGGACTGAGTGGCAGTTCTAATTACCAGTGTCTACACAGGTTTCTCATAGGAAGATACAAGCTGTCACGATCCCTTGCCAATCACATGAGAACTGACCTAGGGAGAGCATCAACTGAAGGTGAGTGTACATGTCCAATAAATTCAGTCCCCACTGCATTAGCTTATTTTTAGGATTGTCCTGAGAAGACATTCAGCCTGTATCGTAAAACCTTCAACTGAGCAGAAAATGTACAGAATGATGATGACTTTAAATTTGAGATCATGCCCTCTGGGGCATGAATTCATAGTACTTGGGGTATGATCTGATAATGTACTGAATGCTGAAGGAGCATAGAATTTGTAGATGAGTTCATAAAGACAGAGCATTTATGCAGTGTCAGTGCTCTCCTGATCAAAGGAAGCTAAAGAAATTATATTCTTAATTTTACTGTAAATGTTTTTCTTAATTTGCAATAAAACCATGCTTTCGATGAAAGATATTTCTCAGAAATAGGATAGTTAAAGTTAGCGCATAAATTTATGCATGCGACTGATAACGCCACTTTCTGATTTTTCAGCTTCTTCCATTGAATGTATTAGAGACTTGTTCTTGAACATAGTTTAGACAATACATGTGTCACAAGCAATGATGAATCAAAGAAAGAAAGCATCCAGAAAGGGAAGCTAACTAGACAGGTAGGCCCTCATCAGCATCACATTCTGTCCCGTAGCTACAATAACAATAATTGAGTCAGACACATGGATTTTAAGTGCCTCTTAAAGAGGAAAGTTAGGGAGAGACACTGTGGAAAGAAAATTATATACTGAAACGTGGCATCTCAGTTTTGCAGCTGCCAACCTCGTTCTGTCACCAGCCACAGCCATTGCCTTTTCTTCTAAACTTAGCAGGGGATGGGTGAAACTAAAGAGAAGCAGTGCAGGCACTTCAGCTGATAAGGAGGTGTGGGTCCAAGTCCCTCTGTGCAATCAAAGCAAACCTTTAATTAGTTTTAACTCTTGAGAGAGGTATTTTATTTGCATGGACAAAAGATGACACCAAGGAGATGTGTGTCTGCCTCATGTGGGTGGCTGCACTCCTGGGATGCTCCTTGACAGCCCTTCATGCACCGGTTAGGGTTTTTTCCTAGTTTTGCCAGTTTGACACTTGTGTTTTGTCCATCTTGGCCAGCAGGCTTCCTCACTGTCAAATTTCCCAACGATGGAAGGAAAATATTTGTCAAAAAGAGGAGAAAATCTAGTCACTGGTTCTGCTGCTAATTAAATATGGTCTTTCAGCATGTGGTCCCCAACCCCAAGTCAAACCTGGTGGATTTCAGCTCTGAAGTGGTGAAAAGTACAAGCTTATTATAGCAGAACTTGATGTCACTGGTACCAGTTTTCAGTCTTGTAATACTCTCGCTGAATTTGTGTGGGTTTTTTTTTTTAAGTGTCAGCTTTGGACAGCATGAGACTGAGTATGAATATTAACTTCCCCCTTCTTTTTTCCTGCCCTTGGGGTTGCAGAAGGAAATGTGAAGACATGACCCGACATTCAAAACAAAACGCAAAGACCGAAACAAGCCATCCACCATTTGTGATTTTATTTTTCAGTGTTTGTTGGGGGTTTTTTTAAATGCAGTCTTATACTTAAAAGCCAGTTCTCTGCTTTTTGATCTGCTGCCTTGGGATTTTTGAGTGCTTTGTCTTTCCATGTGACAGTTACCTGTCAGTTACCCAAATGATTTGGAGAGGTGAACAAAATGCAGATGTAGACAATGGAAGACAGGTATATCCCCCCCAGTTGCATATTCTGAAGTAACCTGGACCTTGGCATAAGAGCATCAAAAGTGTTTATGGTGCAAAGGACTGCTGATGTAGCACCTGGGGTCTCTGTGTAAGATCACCAAACCCACTGTGGTTTTGACCTGTAAGTAGTAGTCCAGGTACAGAGTTACCTGCTGAATGTTTTTCACCTTGGAGGGATGCAGTTCTTTCCTTCCAACACAGAAGCTGAGAGTGATTCAACATGAGGTGTGGATAATCAGGAGAGAAGTAGGAATATAACCTAGCTGACAATATAGGTACGACCTGTACTTATGTTACGGGTGAGCTTCACCTGAGGGATAAAATATTCCCTGCACCTAGCAGGATGCTTGTTGATGCTGGACTATTGAATGAGCCACTGACTGCAAATGGAGGAAGATCCTAAGGAAACAGGGAAAATGTGGATGTTTGTGTCATATACAGAAAATTTGGCCTGTCCTGCATGCCAGATGATATCCTTCCATCTGGTGAAGCTGAAGATGCTGAGAACAAGGATAGAAGGAAGGGGACCATACCTCAGTTAGATCTAGGCACAATATGTAGTTGAATGAAATAAAATATTTCTTGAAAAATGATTGATGAAGACTAGAGCTCGTAACTCCTAGGGTAGTTTTGTCACTTTTATCTTCAGGGTGGAGATCACTACATGCCAGGCTGCATTCCTTCATAGCATCTGAATCATTCTTATTGTCTCCACAAAATGAAAATGAGAAACAGACTGGCAGGAAAGTTAAAATTTTCAAGGTGGAAAGAGCAGGGAATAGCCTGATCATTTATTATTTTTTTATTTTTTGTTTAGATTAAAAGTTCTTGTTGCATTTTTGCAGACACTGATACACTGGATTTTATGATTCCTCTATTTCAAACAAGACTAGAGTTTCCTGTATTTTGAAGAGAAATAAGAGCACCTGAAAAAAAGGGCTTACTCCAGTGCTGTCTATATGCAGCCTGGCTTTCTCTGAGCTTCACAGGGAAGAAATATTTCCAAGGCACCAGTGGTTGCCATATCCTGTATGCAAAAAGATTCCATAAATGTCTGAAAACAGATGGAATGCAACTTTGGAGGAATAAATGGATTTTTAATTTTCTGAACATTTTGGATTCCATCTGGTTGAAGTAACTAAGTGACCTAGTAGAATACTTTACCTTTCTTGTATAATAGATGGAAACACAGCTTGCACTGCTATTGACTGACACATTCCGCATTAATACACAGGTTTTACTTGCTTATACATTTGCTTATTTTAGCCCTTTTGACTGCACGAGAAGGAATACCTGATGCACCTCTTCCTGCATATCAGATCTAAATATTGGCCCTCTCTCAATTCATGATTTAGCCTTGCAGCTAGTAAGGAGGAACTCTAAACCACCTGCCTTAGCTCACCTAACAGTGGGAGATACTGTACCTTAGATTAAAGCACCTTAGACGTACATTAGATAACAAATCTTAGACTCATCTCCTTAAAATACTCTTAATTTTCTGTCTTGTTTAAAGGCAAAGAATATAAAGGAATAGAGACTGTGTACAGGTACCAGTAAAGTGGATTATTTCTGTTTATTGCCCTTTTTGTTACTGCCATTTAGAGTGCTGTTAAGCAAATAAGAGTAAATACATGTGTGTTCTTAGCAGGAAATGAGCTTTTCTCTATGAATAGGGAATACAGGCAACTTGAACTCACAAGAAAGGAGTCATAAAATATATTATTCAGTATAAAAAATGGAAGACTTCAGTTTATGGAAAAGACACTGGGTTTGTGTCTGCTTCAGTGAAAGCTAAAATACAAATCTGTTCACTCTCCTTGAAAGAAAAGGTGGGTCTTTTAAATCATTCATATTAAACCTGTATCTTACGAGTTGCACTATTTGTGAAGCTGATGTTAACGATTGCCATTCCGAAAGTTCTACTGAGAATAACTATTTCCATGTTGATAAGTTGATAAACACTAGTTAGTAGGATATTGACAATGTGTTTGGTATTAATTTTCATACTTTTTGGCACTTTGAACATTTCTTGGGGTTTTTGCCATGAATATGGATGAAACATTCAAAAAAAATGGGTAATAACCGCACTTTTTATTTTTTAAGGGACAGTAGTGAGACTATTTTCCACTTCTGGAAGCAAGTATATTTGTTTCATTAAAAAAAAAAAATGCATTTTATGATCACAAGTTTCAGTCTAGCACAAAGCCTGGAGTCGTAAGATTTCACTTTTGCCTGACACATGCTATGAAAAAAGTGTGTTTGCTCAGTCCTTAATAGGACAAAATACAGCATTTCCACTACACATAATTTTTCTATAAATCTCTGGTCACTGTAACCCCGTAATTCAAAGTAGGCTTGTTTCTTTTGCCTGAAATTTGTGATTATGAACTTCTGACAGCTGGCAGGAACACACACTGATGCTGCCAGCAAAACTCTGGACACTGTGCAGTCATGTTTTGAGCATTTTGAGTGTCTTTTGCTGGGATCCTGTAATAAGCTTGCCTTATATGGCATCAAGACAATTGAATTCTCTTTTGCATTATACGCTTATGTAATTGCGTTACTGTCTCTGAAGCCTTTTTGCCCTCGTAAATGATTAAAACCGTTGTTACTCAAATTTGGACTTCAGAGACATATTAAACCTCCTTATACAGAATGCAAATGGCTGAAAGACTGGCTGCAAGCATGGAGGATTTGCTGGTTTGTGTTTTTCTGAGAGTACAGAGTTTTGTTGAGAGAAGTCTGTATCCTACTAATAGTACTGATCACATTTCTCTCATTTGTATAATTGAGAAGATTACCAACATAATGAAAACAGCTCCATTTAAATAAGTTCTCTACCCGCAGTTAATAAAATAGTATCTACCCTCCGAGACCTGGAATTTCTCTGAAAACAGTTTTAGTTAAACAAAGCGTTTTGTGTACCAACAGCAAATGTGATATTTATTTTTTCATTATTCATGAAACAACTTTAATGTCACTGCTGATTTTCCTGGTAGGATGTTCAGCTCCAGCATACCAGAGCTCATGCTGAGTTGTAGCTGAAGTTGTCATTCACAATAAACATGAGCTGCTGTGACAATACGATGGCAGAAGGTGAAGAATCTCTTTTCTTGTGCAAGGGCGTGAATGTGTCTCTCTCTGTGTGTGAGTGGGAGAGAAAGAGAGAGATTTGATTGTGTTTACAAGATTCATTCGCAGCACAGTAGGCAGTAGTCACATTGTAATATCCACCTTAACACAGATAATTTGATTTTTCAACATGGTTATCATGCATTTCGACATAAAGATACATGAAAATATATGCTTTAGCAGTGCATTTTAAACAAGGTTGCACACTTTAAGTCGGAATATATTAGAGGTGAGCATCGATTTTTGCAATTGCTGGAGTCCTGGAAAGTGTCATTCAGTGTTCAGCATGTGTTACAAAATTACTAAGAGGAAAGCAAATTCTAACAGTAAGTCTGAGGGACTACTACCATTTCTAGGCTGAACTCAACAGGATGGGCTTCACCAAATTTGACATCTAAAGCTGCACAAATTCTTCCCATTTGAGAGCCTTGGGTACTGATGGAATTTCTTTTCTGAGTTCCAGGTTGTCTCCTGACTGGAAAATGAAGAGTCAAAGAGACCCGTGGCCTTTCTGCCCTTTACACTGAAAAGAAAATGAACTGCCTTGTCATAGGCTGAATGTTGTCTTGGGTCACCATCAAGATCCTGACCTGCCTAACTGATGTGACACAAGGAAAGAGGTATGTTGATGCTCATCAAGAGCAGAGCCTCATTACTACATCCTGAAGCAGCCTGAGAGATAAGGGGATCTATCAGCAATTTAATTACAGTCGTAACACACCTAGCCTTCATGCAAGACAGAAAGGAATCTGCTGTTTGCACTGTGAGATTTCAAGCTCAACTTAAATCTAAAGAGCATGGACGTGGTTGGGCATGATTTTATGAATCACCTACAGCAACAAACAAAAGCAGGCATAATTCTCCTGAAGTCAGTAGAGTTGAGCATGTTTATATGAATGAGTCATTTGGCCCAAACTCATTTGGAGTCTTTGCAGTATCACACCTCTGAATCTTCAGAGGTTTTCATAGAGACATTAATATCGAGGTTGTACAGTACCCAAGGTAATTATCCATTATTGCTTGAGCCTGGCCCTGGAGTTATTCATGATATGTTGCCTTATTAGTATAATATAATGGGAAAAAAACCCCAAACCTAACGAAACAGAAACAAACTAGAAACTAGAAAAATAAGTGTGCTAAGAGGAGAAGAGTGTGAAGAAAATAAACACAGCAGGGTGAGGTCCTCTGATGGTGTAAATCAGCCTCACCTTCTGTGAGACTCTGCCACTTTACACCCTGTGATGCTCTGGCCCATGGTTATTAGGAAAGTATGTTGTTGATATGCTCTATAATGGCTTCCATTACCAGCCCATGCTAAAAGAAGCAGCTGGTGAAAGTTATGTTTATGTTCCACAGATGGATCAGAAACGGCAGGCACATAGCTCTGTGTCTGGTAAACAGGTGTTTGACTTTATATTTGCTAGCTAGCCAGAAGAAGTCGTATTCTTGATTAGGGGTATGGGCAGAGATCAATTTAGTTGTTGAAAAGGAACAAACAATTCTTTTTGGTTGCATTTTATCCTTTTTTTAAATAGCAAGTAATGTCTTGAAACACATCCCTTTTATCAGCATAGTCTAAGTGACTGGGAAGAAAAATGAGCAGAGGGGCAAATATCCCCAAACTGATGGAGATATTCAGATGATACTGTCTCACCTCCTTCCTTTCTTGATAATTTTCAATGAAGAAGAAAGCACTTAGGCTTCAGAGAAAGGTACCTCTAATGGAGTCAAAACTTCCCATGCTGAAGGAGCAACTTCAACAGTTGCTACAGTGTAGAATCGGGCTAGTTGAAATGACAGCAGAATTTAGCTATGCCTTTGCTGGAAGATAGAAATATAATCATAGAATCACAGAACAGTTAGGGTTGGAAAGGACCTTAAGGTCATCTAGTTCCAACCCCCCTGCCATGGGCTGGGACACCTCACACTAAACCATCTCACCCAAGGCTTTGTCCAACCTGGCTTTGAACACCACCAGGGATGGAGCATTCACAACCTCCCTGGACAACCCATTCCAGTGCCTCACCACCCTTACAGTAAAGAACTTCCTCATATCCAATCTAAACTTCCCCAGTTTAAGTTTTAACCCATTACCCCTTGTCCTATCACTACAGTCCCTAATGAAGAGACCCTCCCCAGCATCCCTGTAGCATCCCTTCAGATACTGGAAGGTTGCTATGAGGTCTCCATGTAGCCTTCTCCAGGCTGAACATCCCCAACTTTCTCAGCCTGTCTTCATACAGGAGGTGCTCCAGTCCCCTGATCACCCTCATGGCCCTCCTCTGGACTTGTTCCAACAGTTCCATGTCATTTTTACGTTGAGGACACCAGAACTGCACACAGTACACCAAGTGAGGTCTCATGAGAGCAGAGGGGCAGGATCACCTCCTTTGACCTGCTGATCACACTCCTTTTGATGCACCCCAGGATACGATTGGCTTTCTGGGCTGTGAGCTCACACTGAAGCAGGCTCATGTTCATTTTCGCACCGACCAGCACCCTCAACTCCTTCTCCGCAAGGCTGCTCTGAATCTCTTCTCTGCCCAGCCTGTAGCTGTGCCTGGGATTGCTCTGACCCAGGTGTAGGACCTTGCACTTGGCATGGTTAAACTTCATGAGGTTGGCATCGGCCCACTTCACAAGTGTGTCGAGGTCCCTCTGGATGGCATTCCTTCCATCCAGCGTATCAACAGAACCGCACAGCTTGGTGTCATCGGCAGACTTGCTGAGGGCGCACTCAATCCCACTGTCCATGTCAGTGACAAAGATGTTGAACAAGACCGGTCCCAACACCGATCCCTGAGGGACACCACTCGTTACTGGTCTCCAGCCGGGCATTGAGCCATTGACCACAACTCTTTGTATGCAGCCATCCAGCCAGTTCTTTATCCACCGAGTGGTCCACCTGTCAAATTTGTGTCTCTCCAATTTAGAGACAAGGATGTCGTGTGACACAGTGTCAAACGCTTTACACAAGTCCAGGTAGATGATGTCAGCTGCTCTACCGTTGTCCATCAGTTCTGTAGCCCCATCATAGAAGGCCACCAAACTGGTCAGGCAGGATTTCCCCTTAGTGAAGCCATGCTGGCTGTCACCAAGCATCTTGTTGATTTTCATGTGCCTTAGCATGCCTTCCAGGAGAATCTGCTCCAAGATTTCGCCAGGCACAGAGATGATAGTGACTGGTCTGTAGTTCCATGGGTCATCCATTTTCCTCTTCTTGAAAATGGGGGTTATATTTCCCTTTTTCCAGCCGTTGGGAACTTCACCTGACTGCCATGATTTTTCAAATATGATGGACAGTGGCTTAGCATAATCCTCTTTTTAATAAGGAATGTTTTGCACACCAGTTCCAACACCTGTAAATTTAATACTTATGGGTGCACAGCCAGCACAGAAGAAGAACAATTTCTTTTCAGCTTATTCAAAGTAAACCATTTATTTTCACTGTGTTTATTCATTTCTGATTGCTCAGAAAGCCAAAAAGCAGCTGGGCTTTTTTTCTGATCTCTGGATGACAAACGCTTCTCGATGGAAGAATGATAAAATGTAAATGCCTGGGTGAATATCATTCAGCCTAAAATACGTTAAACTCTGAGGGTTTGGGAGCATTTTCACAGATACCCACCAGTAGGCTGAATAGTCATTAATAATTAATATTATGACTCTGTGAATCATAATGATTCAGATTCAGCACTTCTAGTTGCAAATCAGATTATTATTTTATTCTTTGACCAGCTCTAGGGAAAGCTCCATAGTATGTAGTGCAAAGAAATAGCCTAAGGGAATAGACCAGGCTGGCATCATTTGCCTAAAACTTGCCCACACTGCTATTGGGTGTTGATCCTTCTGGCAGAAGGTTAAATGCATCCTGCAGAGTCCTTGAAACTAGGGTAGGCACAAGTGGTTCTCCAAGACAAGAGATGACCTAGGGAACAGCAAGAGCAGCTGAGACAGTTGAAGAACCTGGGGTAGGTCTGAAGAGATGTTTCACCCTCAGCATTGTTAGCTCGTTATCATGCCTGTTTTATTGAAACCAAACCACTCAAAGGGGCAGCTCTGGAATCAACGCATTATGTCAGAAAGGTGGCTGTTTAAATGAAGTGTGAGCAGCGCGTGTTTTCAAGCTTCTGTTGTACATGTAATATATGAAGGAATAGTGAAAGCAGCAGGTGTTGTGGAAATTTATGGAGGAGCAGCAAGCCCAGGCGGCAGCCCCACAGGAAGAGCAGTGACAGTTACTGCAGCAGATGGTCTTGAGAATTATGAATGTGGGACCTATCCCCAGCTGCCCCTATAACCAGGTCCTTTTTGAGCAGGAACCAACAAGATGTTGGCTCCAGGCTTACATGGTCACCTTGAGCACTGGGACTGGTGGTGGTCAGGGTAACCAGCCACTCTAGATCCATGCTGAAGAAGGGTGACCTGATCTGTGTATATTGATCTCTGAGCAGTGGTACTGCTGCCGCCTAGAAGTACATCTTGAACCAGTTGGGAATCCCAGAATAGAAGTACTGATAAAGTCTCATGGAGGAATTTAACTACCCAGACATCTGTTGAGTAACAAATACAGCTGAACATGCATCATCGCAGAGGTTCCTAAATTATAGTGAAGACAACTTTATGATGCAGAAAGTAGAGACTCCTGAGGAGAAGCCATCCTGGATCTACAGGAGTATATTAATGAAATTTGCAGATGAAACTTTGCAAGTGCATTAAAAATACAGCGTCACTGTTTTAGGACTGACTTCAGCAGAGTATCATATGTGTTTAGGATGAACTGTCTTCCTTATTTGTTTATTAATTTTGATGGTTAGACAAGTAAACAGAAGTTCAAGCCTACCTTCTGCTGTCTTTAAACCTGTTTGCATCATCTATGCATGCCAGACATTTGAGCTCTGCAGACTCTTAACTAATATACTTTGCAAACATCTCTCTTGGACAACACACAGCTCACAATGGAGATTCAAAGAATTAGAAAAATGGGTAGATAATAGCACTGTGCCATTCCCCTTCAAAAATGCAAGTGTGTACCTTTGCAGAAAAAAATCATTTGAAACAAATGCTGAAGAGGATAAGGAATTTTAAGAAGCAGAAATATTGAAAAGATAATAATGAACAGCAAATAAGGCATGAGTTTTCAATAAGGCACAATAGCAAAGGAGGCCTATAAAATTTTGGAATACAAACAAAGAGATATTACATCACAGGGTAATGTTCAAACAGGCTTTTCTTTTCCCTTGTGGGTTTCAGGAGGTATAAGATAGGCTTGTGCCCTGAAACAAGCAACAAAAAGGTTACACTGATTATAATGATGAACTGACAGTAAGACTTATGAATTTTTGAAAAATCTGTTGGAAGTTTTGATTTACAATGACACTTACTGGAAAAAGCAAAAGCAAAGGAAAAGGCCACAAAACCTGACTTGTATCCCGAAACAAGGGAATCTGTAAAATCTTAGGGGAAAAAAAAATCTCTTAAAATTTCTCACATAAATCAGCTAATCTTTGCCATCCTCAAAGAAAAAACAGCCCTGAGTGAATCCTGCTTCATTCCTCAGATTCAATACAGGGATAATGCCAGGTTTACTCTCTAATGATTCATTTCCTTACATCTGGAGAATGTGTCTTTAAAAAATTTAGGGGGGAAAAACCCAAGGGTTTTGGGTTTTATTTTTTTTCTCTCCTGCCAAGTTTTAATTTGATGCACTCATTTCTCCATTACCGTTCTGCCCCAAAGTTTATTGTCTCAAGCACTACGCAGCATAACCTTTTTCTCATCTCTTCAGGAAGGTAACGTTCCAATTTACATCTGTAATAGCAAGGTATGATCATCTCAGCGGGATGGTAACCGTAGTAATCTTCCTGCTAAAACCCTGTTCATTAGCTTTATGATAAAATGCCTGTGTTATTCCCAGAAAAGAACAAAACTTTTCACTTGTCTACATTAATCCTGACATCTGCTATAGGTCATGTAGAGAAAGAAGTCTAGCTCCAAAAGTGATTCCAATTCGGTGTTGTATTAAGACTATTATCAAATAATTCCACTCCACCTGATCAAAGGCTTTCTCAGCATCTAGTGACATTCATGGTATTGAGCCTTTGCCTTTTTGAAGATTTTAGACTCCCCACAGCATCACCTAAAAGGTCGCTGAGGGGTCAGGGAGTGTTCAGGTCTTTCATGAGAAAGAACCAAGAACTCCTTTTAATCTTAATATTCAACTTCAGTGTACACGTACACACACAAATAAATAATCTTGGAAACACTAATCTTGGTCCAGGCACAAGCAATAGTGGAAGACATTTTTGTCAAAGGTGCAATCTAAGGACTACCTTTTCAAGGAAGGAGTTTGGAAGGAGATGAAAAAAATGAATGAGGATCCCTCTCTGGTTATTACTTTGGTCTGAAGATTGGAGACAAGCATGCTATCAACAAGATAGCAGCAGTGATACACAAGCCACCACTAATGAACTCCCTTTATGTGTCCAGGGAGCCCTTCTAAAGAAAGCCTACAAACACCCGCCTGAAGGCTCTTCTTGCTTCAGACCAGATGGATTTGCTGGCTGTTCTTGCTCAAAGTTAATTTGTAATCTACAAAACCAGTCTTCCATTAATATACAGAAACAAAACCTAAAGGTAAAAAAATGGTGACAGAATATATCAACCTGAAGTTTCAATTTTTCTGTCTGCTGCACCTGAACTGGCATACACAGTCACTGAACTGAGTCTCCAAGGTTTCAGCACTGCAGTGAAAGCAAAGGACAGGAAGAAAAGTCACTTGTGGATCCCAGTTTCTATGAGGGAAGGTATAAAAGGCTCTGAACTGTCCCTGAGCAAGGTTATTAACTTGAAAAGTACTTAGCTGAAACTCTTTCCTGGTGCGTTGACTCATGCCCTCCACTTCAGCAAAGCCAGATTACAGTGATTTGCCAACGATTTTGTGGCTGCAGAATGCAGGAAGGTATTTTAATTGCATTTTCCCCTGTGATCAGTTCTGTTGCCATATTCTGTGGTTGAAATCTTATTGGAATGCTTTAAATAGAACAAAGACTTGGTCGGCTCTTCTGTCCCTTCACCCTTCCTCTTCCCCACCCAAACTGGTCCAGGTTGTTTGGATGGAAATGCTACTTTTATCTAAAAGGCTTTTTGCCTAGAAAGAGACTGCAGATGAACAGCGCCGACAAGAACTCTCTTTAATCACTGGCTGGGCTTTTCTCACTTGGTGTACTTTTCCCAAAGGAAGTACGTTGAAAATTTTGTTTCAAGATTTGAAATGGAGTGGTGTGAACTGACTCAGAGACATCAATATGCTGATTTACCCCAGCTGAAGCAGCACGACACCCCTCCCCCCCTTTGCATTATGTGTGAATCAGCTGTTTAGTAATCAGTGGGATCCAGATTCTGGCGGGTTTACTTCCACAAAGGGCAGGAAGAAGGTTTTTATCACATTTTGCTCTGTGATTGGCTCTGAAGTCTTACCAGTGGATGAAATTTCACTTTGGTCTTATTCGCATTAATACAAAGATGGTTAGACAAATAGTCTCTGCTTGCTCATATATACTCACCTTGAGTACTAAGAGTATGTATAACTTACCTCACTCACCTTTAATGGCCCGTCTAGTGGAGGTGCACAAATGATGATCCTCAGGTCCTTCAACACTCCTGCGACATGGCCTCTTCACTTATATCTCCTGAATCGCCTGGTGGAGCAGCTGATCTCTTTCTGTCAAACAACACCATCACTTCTGTTGCCTGCCTGTGATCGACACCACTCCTGCAAAGTCACAAAGAATTATTTAATATCAGATATCAGTTCCCATGAAATGGTTGTGTGGAAGCAGGACTTGGATTTATGTTGGGGACGAGGAGCGGGGGTGGAAGCATGGGTTGATTAGGTCCCCTTGGTTAGATTGGATCTAGTTCCTATCTTGTGCTAATCCACCCCAGACTCCTGGCGGTAAGATTCAAAGCAGCATAAAGCAGATAACAGGAGAAGGCGAGGGGGCTGGTCAGGGGTGTTTGTAAATAAATCTGGAACCTGGGATCTGCAGCCTGCTTGGTTATGGTTTTGTGAAAACACAATTACAGCATAAAATGAAAGCAGGCTGTGCAATGAAAACAAGAGGAATGCCATCACCCAGGTTGGCTTGTACTGCAAACCACCCTGGTCAATCATCTGAGATGAATGGAGGTATCCGCTGAATAACCTCACTTTGCAACTTTTATGTGAAGGCTTGATAAATGAAGTCAGGGAGAGGTACAAGAAAGTGATTAAAACCAGCCTGCGCAAAAGGCAATGATAACCTCCCTGAGCTTGAAACTTTTTTTCCTCTTCTGCCTGAGTTTGTTGGATAATTAACCCTTTCGTCCTTCGGTCTCTGTACACAAACATTTGTATATTTGCACAAAGCAGCTGCCTCTAGACAAGCAATTTGTCACTGGTAATAAATTGGACTCAGTGGCAAGGCCAGCCGCTTCCAATGGGGATGCTTGCAGCCAGGTACCATGATCTGGAATTTCATAGGGCCCTCACTGTAGCAGAAAATCTTTTCCAAAGTTTAGCTGTCATTTCTTGCCTCTGGGCTCTCTAAGCTGCCCAGTCGCTCACTTGGGCACCTCCTTTTAGACACCCTCATAGAAGAACATGCCCCAGGTCACACTGGCCAAATAGTTTTAGGGGATGTCAGTCTGTTGTTGTAATGAGCTCGAACGGGGTATTATTGTCACTAAAACAATAGGCAATTCTGGCATTATTGTCAAGCAGGGGCCAGGATTTCGCCTTGTGAACCTGGAACCATCATCTGTCATCTCTTGAGGTAAAATCAGTTACTGACTTGAAGGATGACCAGAACATTCAGAAAAGCATTTTACCCATGTATGGCATAGTCAGAGATCAACAGATTTCCCATTCATAGTTATAGTCCACTGCACTCCTAGGTGCTTGCTGGGGTTAAAAAAGAAAGGGACTATCAAAGGGGTCTCACAGGCAGACCTTTGTCCAAATGTGGTCAGAGGCAGCTGCTTATAGTTTGGTTGCTTCACTTTTGGTCTGCCCAACTGCATTAGGATACCAAATCAGGGGCTTATGGAAAAACAGCTGTCGAGAGTCTGAGTCTGAGACGGGCTCTCAGGTGAAGATCTACAAGCCAGCACTAATAAAATATGCAGAAGCTTTCTTGCACATCAGAGAAATAAGCTCTTCTAGGAGGAACCCCCCCCTAGACTTAGCTGAAAGAATGGCAGCAGCACCACTGCCTGTATTGAACAAAGCTCTTTAAACTCTTACTGAGAAGCAAAACCTCGGCTGAGAAATGTCAACAGAGCTTTTACGACAGCCTGAAAATTAATTGTCCTCTGAAATGGCAGTCCTCAATTTAGGCTTAATCTCTCTTGCATTACTCAGGTAGCTATTGTGAAGTATCACCCCGCTTGCTGCTCTCGCTGACAGTTTCTATATCCCTTCACCACGCCCACTGGAAGGAAAACAATCACATAAATCCCTCTTTCAGGGCATGCTCAAACTCGTTTCTTATTGTGGGACAAATTTATGGTTGCATTTACTATGTAATCTTTAAAGGGGACTGGCTGGTGGTTGAAGGTCTAAAATTACAGATGACCTGCGTGTAAGCAAAAGTGGATTTGTTAAAGAATCTGTATTTAAGGGAGGAGGGAAGGGGGTGAGAGGGGAGCTGGATGTTCCTGTGTACTTTATGACCTTTCCTTTAAAAAAAAAAAAAAATACAAAAAATCAACCAAACCAACAACCTTCAGGAAAAGTAGAAAAGCAATTTTCATTCTGCAGCTCTAAATATCTGTTTATCCCACTGCCATGATGTAAGCATGCCCAGTTGGGATGATTTAGCACTCTGCTGATGACTACCAACGGAAGGACTTCATGTGAAAAGGTAGTCTGCCACGGCTAATGGGCTCTTGTTTCAAAGGGATGCTGTGTGTACATTACTAGTGTATGGAGAAGGTGCAGAAAGGCCTCAGCAGACATTAGGAATGGAGTGTTGTTGATGATGAAAAGGCACTTTGCTGTTGAGGGAATGGTGGGAGAGAAAAGGCGTATCTGTCTTTTTGATTAGAAATGCATGCTTCCTTTCATCATCTGAGCTGAAAAATTGGCTTCTGCTCTTGGTTTATGAAACCATTTTTCTTTTCCCTTCCTTCCCAGGTTTGCAAACTCTTTAATAAATTAGTTACTGTGAGGTGCATGGGTGCAACAATCACCTTAGAGGCTTTTCCCAAATGCATCTTTAATATTTTATAAGTATTTAAATAGATTTATTCAATGTGAACAGCCTGATTTATTAACACTGGCACTCTGGCATGGAAAGGGGGTTCAATACAAATTATGTTGTGTCAGAAATTTTTAGCAGCTAGATCTCAATTTACCAATGGATTCTTGGAAGTCAGGAAATAATAGGACCCACTCCATGTTAATATTTAATCAGGCTTTGGTGCCAGATAGAAGCTGTCGAATGAGCGAGATGCAACGAGGGGAGCCCTGTATTACATTAAAATATACATCATGTGTGTTCTTTTCTTAGATGGGAGGTAGAAGTGGGTCAGTTATTATGACAAGTAAGAGGCTCAGACCTGCCACTGAATAAAGATGCTTTGTCAGGTTCTGAGAGCTGACTAGATGAACTTAAAATCTCATTGCAGACATGTGTGGGAAACCTGAGTTACCAGGTATGGAACTTGTTTCCCTTTTGATGTCCTGGGTCTAATAGATGCCTTTCCTTGTGTGTATTCAGAAAATATTATACGACAACAGAAACACTGAACCTGACATGATAGCAGAGCTGTTTTGTAAAGCACTTTATAACGATGCAGTGAGAAGGGTGCTATTAAACCAAATGCTGTCCTGCACAACTAATGTACCAAGGGAAAGGATGGCTTTACTGGGCCTCTGTAGGTCAGTACTCTGTAGGTTATTGTTACCCGAAATTCATTTTCACTCTAGAGTGCCTAGCCTGGTACATTACCCTCATAAAAACAACTTGAATTTATTTCTGTATGGAAACACCAGCCAATTTTCCCAGTGCAGATTTTGGGTGCAAATTTAAAATTCAAGGAAGCTTGGAGCAAAGTTTTTCACAGTAGTGTTCACTCACTTGAATGGAACAGATGAACGTAAGGGCATGATTGCAGAATAGCTCTGCATATCAGCAGGGCTTTCCTAAATCACTGCTCCCAGTGTGGAGCCAGTCAGACGAGTTAGGAGACTGTTCAAAAACTGGCAACATCTGATTTCAGCTGTGTACTACTGACACAGCCTCCCCAGTCCATCCTGCAAGGCAGGGGCTAAATAGGTGAATGAAGAGTAAAGAAGAAAGCTTCAGTCAGCAGCAGTGGGACTGCACTGGATAAAGAGGACATCTCAGATGCCATTGTTCTTTCCCTGGAATATTTTAGGATGAGCCAGCAATGAAGAAAACTCCAGCAGTCAAGACTGCCTAGCCATAATTGTATGCTCATGTGCAAGGGTTGAGTTCTTTGGAGCATATGAACTAGGGTGGTGTGATTGAAGTGCCTGGAATAACACTGGTGGCCACTGGCTGAAATTTTGACCTGTAGCTTAAGTTCTGGGACAGTGAGCTAGTCTTCCAGTAGAAACTTTATTCATTTCCTTTTCTCATTTAATTATGTTTATTTCTATTCCTTTAAACATGTAATGTGTTTAGTTTCCCTGTGTGCTTGCTTTATTTGAAGAAAGAAAGAAAAGTTGAACTGCTATTCCTTTGTAATATTAATATTAAGAAGGCTGGACAATGCTCCAGTAGGACAGCTGGGTCAGGAAAAGACCCCACTCCAGACATTTGGTTCTGCCACAGTTTGCTTGGAATGGCTTACTGTAAGGTTAGACTACCAGTGAAGAACTCCTTAGTTTGTGCTGTGATAGTTGCCTGTTCTTGTTAGTATCATGTTCTGAATCCTTTAAACTTAGTATTTGAAAGGGGGGAAGATAAATGGAGCACAACACTGTGCGTGATTTCTTTATGCTGTTTATGGTTAAGTTGAATTTGTTTTTGTGGAGAGTATAACTAAGGTTGTTTTGACGAGATGGTGGTAGATCCAGAGCTGGATCAACTCTACCTATGTTACCACTTAAAGGTCTCCACCCAATCTGCCAAAAGCCAGGCTGGCTGCTCAGAGTGGGATTGTTACTCTCTTCTACATGGTAGCAGTTTTAGCTATTATTAATATATACTTCTAGAGTTCCTTAAAAGTAAACAGATATTATGACCTACTTCATAGAAAACAGTAATACAGAGTTGCACCTTTATCAACTGTGAGAACAAACATAATTCAGAAAAGAATAAACTTGTTTCCATTACAGGGAGGAAGTGTGTCCCTTGGCATACAGGATTGTATGGTTACAGGTTTGGGGCACAACAGGTCCAGATTTCTATTGAAGTATCAGCCATGCTTTCCTGCCTCTGGACAGCAGTTACTTAGGAGTTACCTATGTTTTGATGGGTAAGGAGACATGTCTTTCTGCTTTATCCTGTTAAGATTACCTGCAGTTTAGGCTGTCATTTGCTGCTTGTGTGATTGAAAAAAAATAACACCAAACCATGCCAAACCATGCCACAAAGTTAACTTCTAAATTCACTTATTTGCTTCTTTTCAACCACTGCAATTTTGAGTATCTAATCTCAACACTCTTAGTAATGGCGTTTTAAGGCTTCACTGTAGCACCTTGTGTTCAAGGAAGGTGATCTCTTTAGTAGGCATTTTGATAGAGTCACAGCAAATAAGACTGTATTACTTTTATCTCAGGAAAATAATTCCATCACCTACTCCAAACTCAAATACGTATGAGCATATGCTCCTAAAATTTTTTCAAGCTAGGGCTGGGTGGGAAAGAAGTAGGTGAGAAGAATATCAGAGGGAATAGGGCAAGTTTCACAGTTCAAATATATAAAGCTTAGCTATATTGGTATTAGGAAAAATACTAGGAGAACTATTGTTATTAAAACACCATAGAAAGGTAAAAAGGTTTTATAGTTAATTGTTTTTTCAGGTAAGTTTCACTGTTCAGAAGTTCATCTGGACCTGTAAAGGATTTGGCCAGCTAGAAATATGCCTGAAAGCACTTAAATTGCAGCCTCCTTCTTCCCAAAGGAGACAGCAATTGAAACAGAGGAGCATCTTCCGATGCCTCCCACTGATCAGGGGATTTCTTGGAGAAATGGCCTCACTCTGGTCTTCAGGACAATTACAAGGTACTACTTTGTGCGTGAGCGAGGCCAAAGCAGCTATCTAGGAAATCTGAATGTGATTTTAATTATAGCTTTTATTATTGGAGCAGCCGTAACCAAGATTGTAACAGTCAATTATATATGGAGCTTTATTGGCAAAGGGTGTTTAATATTAAACAATCATGGCTAACCGTGAACATACCTGATATAATAATGAACTTTATTTGAAAGATCAGCATGAGATAAAGGAGTTAAATTTAGCTGTACAGTCTGTAACAATAACACAAGGGGATATCGTGAATTCATTTTATTTGGAAACAGAAAACTCTGGATGTTGTTAGATTATCTTTTTGAGAGCATAACGTAAATGTTTGGTAACCAGAGATTTGTATTGCTAGAGAGAATCACTTTCACTAAAGCCACAGTAACCGAATGTTTAAATGTGCAGGGCTGAACTGTCAAAGCACGTAACAACATCTTTAAATAAAATGAAAGCGGCTAGAGCTGCTTCTATCAGTGTCCTCCTCTGACAGCTGCTTAAGGTTCAGTTCTGTTCCTGTTGAAGTCAGTGGAGAATCTCCTGGTAACCTGAAATGATTCATGGCATGGACCTTACCAGAAAAAACAGGGGAAGTCTCAAAGCATTGAGAAAGGTGCACTGCTGTCCCACAGCATGTGGGTTATTTGTACACATGCAGAACGATATTGCCAACCCACAGCATTGATAAGTGTAGCTAGAGTCCCTTGCAAGAGCCTTACACCTCCTCCATAAGATTTTTTCAGTCTTCCAGTTCTAAGTCACTGGAAACCTTTGACAGTCACAATACCCAGGTTTTCAGCTTAACTAGAGGCTCAGAAAACCTCTTACACTATTTCTAGTTTCTTTTCATTAAAGCTGTCAATCTCTGATAGCTAATGGTAGGCTCAAATCAGAAAGGCTCATGTGGCAAAATCTGCCCTAACTCCACAGCTATGAAGCACTGAGGAAGTAAGTGCTGACCAGCCCATATTCCTGGTATAGCAGTGTTGGTTGGTTTTTATTTTAACTTTATATTTGTGTCAATGGCTACATGGACTATTTGGCCTAAATGTGAGTCCTGGTGCAAGCAAGGAGGCAGGATGTAAGCCAGCTTTAGGATGCAGGGACAAGGCAGGCTGTCCTAGGCATGACCAGGATCTGTGCAGTGGCTTTTACCTGCAGACATCCTCAAGACCTCACTTCCAGACTGGCAGGAGGATGAGCCACATTCTCCTCTTCAGTCTCATTTTTTCAATTCTTAGAGGCTAAGCTAAGAGCCAGTATTATGGATTTATATCTGGGCTTTCTCTTCAGTCCCACTCACCTTCTGATTGCTGCTGTTTGGACCTGGTAGACCAATATTCTGCAAACAGATGGTGTCTTTTATCAGCATGTAAACTGAAATACTCCAACCAGAGCTCCTTCCTGCTTCTTGGTTTCTAAAATGCAGCTCAAATTCTTAATTGGGTAACCTGAACTTCTCCATAATCTGCGTATCAGCGTGTATGGATGTAATGGACATGTCAGTGCTGTGTACACTAACACTTTTAAGTCATATAATGGGCCTGTTCACTAGAAGAATAAACACACCATGCAATTTAACTGCAAGCTGGAGGGATACAGAGGAGAATGTTCACTGAAAGGTTATCTACAGTTTAAAAGCAGTTATTTTCCTCTTGCAGTTTTTGAGGGTGATCTGCAGCAGAGGTACCTCCTTAATTTTGAGAATTGATTGTCTAAAGGAAAGGAAATGTAGGGAATTTCTTCTTGCAAGCACTTTTCAGCTCTTAAGAGGCTTTTGTGCTGCCTGTGCGAGCCTACAGATGGATGCTGCAGAATACAGTACTTTAATGCAGAGAAAAGGATTAGGAAAAAAACCTCAAAGGTGTAAAATATAACAAAAGGCAATATTTAGCATCACACTGGTAGAAGAAACAGCTGAAGTCAATGGGAGCTTGATCCATGAAAGCACAGCAGGACCATGCCATATATAGGAAAGCACAAGCTGTCAAAATTAAGTGTGTAGTTTATGGTATGCTTTTTGTTTGAAATAACATATTACCTCCTATTTATAGTAAAGCAGACTAAACAGTTCTATATGTCTGCATTTAAGATTTTTAGACAGAGAGTAAGGATACCTTTTACCTGGAAATTGTAGAGTCAGAGCTCAAAATTGTTAGCAGTGATACAAATGAATACCTGCGATTTTACAGGCATATAAATCTCAAGCTTCTGCTTACATAGCCCCGCTCTGTCTGCAGTATTGGCTGGATCTGAAGATCACTGCTGGAGGACTTCTAGGAAACAAATGAACTTGCAATGCATAGTATCTTAAAGGAAACTATAAATGGGATAGGTCAAGGACTAGGCATGTAAGCGACAGGAAAAAATCTTCCTTTTAGTTTATACAACTCCTGCTTCCATGTCTGTGCAGATTCCTAATAAGGAATAGTAACTTTTTGAGG